GGGGACGGATGGGGACAGCGGCCGTGATGTGTCCCGGAGCGGGGTCAATATTTGCTCCCAAAGCCGCTGGGCAAACACACGGGGCGAGGAGGGGAGGGGGGGGGGAGGATCCTGGCGGCTCGTCCTGGGCATTGACCAGTCCCGGAACACCGGGAGAAAAATTTGGGGTCACCCCACTTGTCCCTGTGTCACCCCTCAACCTCGCGTTTCCCAGCTGGGGAAACTGAGGCACGGGGGCAGCGGGAAGGGTCGCCAAGGGGGGGATCCCCACATCCCCGCAAACCCCCCCAGTGCACCCCAGTGCCAGCTCCCGCCCCGTCCTCGCTGCTTTTGGGGACGAACCCCCCCGGGGTGATGCCACAGCCCCCCAACCCCAATCCCACTGGGAACTGGGAATGATCCCGGCCTGGAAAGACCCGGAGTGTATTGGGGAGGTCTGGGGGAGCCCCCCGCGTGCTTGGGGACACGGAGGTGACACTGTCTGCGGGATCGGCCCGGGGGGGACCGCGGGACGCGATAAGGGCCGGGCGATAAGGGCCGGGCCGGGCTGGCACCCCATTAGCGGGGGCGTTAGGGAAGGTGACAATCCTGTCACCCCCGGCTGGGGATGGGGACACAGGGGACACACAAACACGGGGCACATGCCAGCCCTGTGCCCACCGCTGCCCCTTCTGGGGGTCCCAGCCTTTGCCCCCCCGCTTTTCCCTCTGCTTCCTCCTCATCCCCGCTCCGGGAAAGAGGGGAAAAAAGGGAATTGTAGGGCTGGGGGGCACAGGGTACCCCAAAGTGTACCAGTCAGCCCCCCGAGCTGTGGGGGGACCCGGGGGATCCCCAAGATACGGGGTGGGTGATCTGAGGGGCTGGTGGGGAAACAAAGTGTCCCAAACTGCACCCAACCCCCCTTCCTGAGATGTGGGGGGGACACAGGACACCCCAAACTGCGCCCAAAATCACTCCGCGCTATGGGGGGACACAGGACACCCCAAACTGCGCCCAAAATCACCATTTCCAGCTATGGGGGGACACAGGACACCCCAAACTGCTCCCACAGCCCCCCTGAGCTGTGAGGGGACACAGGACACCCCAAACTGTCCCCAAAGTCACTCCAAGCTATTGGGGAGGGGGGACACACAGGACACCCCAAACTGCATCCCTCACCTCCTGAACTTTGAGGGGACACAGGACACCCCAAACTGCACCCACCGCCCCCCTGAGCTGTGGGGGCACACGGGGCACCCTAAACTGCACCCAAAATCACTCCGAGCTGTTGGGGGAGGACACAGAACACCCCAAACTGCGCCCAAAATCACTCCAAGCTACGGGGAGGGGGGACAAAGGACACCCCAGGCTGGACCCACAGCCTCCCTGAGCTATGGGGGGACACAGGACACCCCGAACTGCATCCCCCACCCCCTGAACTTTGAGGGTACACAGGACACTCAAAACTTCGCCCAAAATCAGTCCGAGCTATAGAGGGGACACAGGGACACCCCAAACTGCACCCACAGCCCCCCTGAGCTGTGAGGGGACACAGGACACCCCAAACTGCTCCCACAGCCCCCCTGAGCTGTGGGGGCACCCTAAACTGCACCTAAAATCACTCCGAGCTGTTGGGGGGACACAGGGAACCCCAAACCGCACCCACCCCCCTGAGTTATAATAGGGAGACGCAGGATGGATCCCCCACCCTCCTGAGCTATGGGTGACACAGGACACCCTAAACTGCACCAAAAATCACTCCGAGCTGTGGGGGGACACAGGGAACCCCAAACCGCACCCAAAATCACTCCAAGCTGTGGGGGGGAGGGGACAGACAGGACACCCCAAACTGCATCCCTCACCTCCTGAACTTTGAGGGGACACAGGACACCACAAACTGCCCCCAAAATCACCATTTCCAGCTATGGGGGGACAGAGGACACCCCAAACTGCGCCCAAAATCACCACTCGAAGCTATGGGGGAACACAGGACACCCCAAACTGAGCCCAAAATCACCATTTCCAGCTATGGGGGGACACAGGACACCCCAAACTGCCCCCAAAATCACCATTTCCAGCTATGGGGGGACACAGGACACCCCAAACTGCGCCCAAAATCACCATTTCCAGCTATGGGGGGGACACAGGACACCCCAGGCTGGACCCACGGCTGGCGCCGGAGCCAGACTGCCCCGGGGGGGTGTTTGCTGTGGGGCCGATGCCCCCCCCGAGGGGAAGGCTGGCAATTATGTAAATCCCTTAACCCCTGATTGCCTCCTCCCACCCCATTAGGTGGGCAAACAGTTTTAGCTGCAGGGGCCGAGATAGCCGGCGGCTACTTAAACCCTACGGGCCACCGAGCAGCCAGCACCGCCGCCAGCACCATGGTGACATCCCCGGCCATCCTCTGCCTCGTCGCCTGGCTCGTGCCCCCCGCCACTGGCCACCTCTGGGCATGGATGTTCTCCTTGCCCCAGCACTCGCCAGATGCGGCCGAACTGGGCAGGAGCCCCGGGGCGGACCTG